AATCCCGGATGGTCTCACTCATAGCAGGAATTTAGAAACCCTAAATAAGGGACCAGGAAAAAGACTAATTATAATGAAGTAAAAATCAACATCAACAAGTAACTATAAACCAGAGACACACTACGGGGTGGGGGGTGGCAGGGAGAGGAAAGATTAGGGGCAAAATAAGGGGGGGGGTGCAATTGTCTGGGGAATATAACCAAAATGAAAATGCATACATTGTGCAAAAATGAAAAATGTAAGAATTATATAAAATAAAATATTAAAAAAAAGAAAGCGAATGGAATCATATGCCTACAAACACTTGTGTTCTTGGTAGTGTCAGGGCCAAAAAACTAGGACTTCACTGCATTCAGATGCCTAGACATGTACACGCACTGGAATAATATTTATGAATCCCATATTGTTAATTATATGCCTGGCACTTTTCTGAGTACTTGACCTTAGTTAGTCCTCAGCTCATACAGTGACTCGGCCCCTCACACTACATCCCTGCTTTACTGCAGGTTGCACACCAAGTTATCAGCACAGCAAAGCAGCGAGCCAAGCCCGCCTGGCTCCAAGCACGGCCCCTCTAAGCACTACTCGCTTTCACCTAGTCTGGGAAGACGAGAGCTCTTCCAAAACCTCATTCTTGATGTATGACTTTTGGGATGGATAAGAATAGAGAAAGAAATTGCAAGATCAGTTACTTTAAGACAGAAAATTTTAAGTCAAAATTCGTAGAGAAACAAGTCACATCCCGCCCAGCAGGTAGTTACATCCCCTTTGGTGTCTCGTTTGGAAGTTACTGCTGCTGCCACCTGCTAATATTTTATAAGCATTTACCCAGCAGGCACTTTGCAGGGATGATCTGATTGAATCACAGCAGCAAACATGGGGTCCCCTAATATGATACAGAAGGAGACTAAGGCTCAAGGAGTTTAAATAATTGATTCAACTCCACAGAGCTGGAAAGTGATACGCGCAGAGAGACTTGAACCCAGGCAATCTGCCCACAAAGTCCATACTATTTGTCTTTGTGTCTCACCATAATTTTGTTCTTTCCCGTTGATAACCTCGCCAGCTGACTTCAACAGGGAAAAAAGAAGCTATAGACTCAAGAATACAATGGTGTCTGGAACTTTACAAAAGCATCTTTTATACTGGGGGACGGAGTAGATCCTTGAATTTCTTTCCTTCTAACCCTCTCTAATTTAATGTGAAGATCAAGCTTTGAGCTTAATAAAACATCCTCTGCCTATGAAATGAAAAAACATAAAATAGTAATCTTCACTTAATTTCAAATCTAATATCAAGTATGCTGTTTACCTGGTGTTATTTTCTCAATTTAAGTTGGTGGACACTCTTAAAGCACATGCTTTCAGCATCCATTTTTGAGAAAGCCAGTCAGGACCTTATAACAGAATTGTAGGATTGAGAAAAATGCATGTTCTCATCTCAAAGAATTAGCGCCTTTTAATGTTAGCAGATTTGCTGCTTCATCTTGGTGCATTATCAAGACAGCCTTGTGCTTATGACCAGCAAACTCTCGTTATTTGTTGTTGCTGTTATTAAATTCTCTGTGTGTTCAGCAAACGAGTAGTTTCAAGAACCAAATTGGCTAGTGCGCACCACACACAAGATTCACATACAAAAGAAAGGCTCCGTGAAATGCTGCCTTGCGAAAGCAGATTTCCTGAGCTGGTGATTACAGACAGCACACGAAGCACCAGGCCTCCCCGTAAGGCTGGAGGGTATTCCTTCCCTTGCGCAGAATTTTATCTCGTGCCCTCAGAACCAGAAGACACTGAGTTCATGGCAGTGAATGCTATTTCCCTTCCTGTAAAACCGATTTTATTGCAACCTCCTGCTTTTAGTTACTAAAAACTTGCTGAAAATCCTTAGAAAGTAAAAGTATTTGGCCTTGTCCATAAAACACAGCTTCAGGAAAAAGTAATATTTAAGTCCTAAAAAAAAAAAAAGGCTCTGCTTCATTTGGTATATTAAAACTACCTTTAAATAAGTACAAAATTTAAAAAAAATTGGATTGTGTAAATACTGCTTAAGCAACCCATGTTAGGAAGTTCTAGTTTCTACTCTACAAAGTAAAATTTCATTTGTTTTGTCTCCACTAACATGCCAAAATTTATACCTGAGTCACTCATTATTTAATGAACATATACATTGAAGCATCGAAGGTACTGCATTTTTGGTTACATTTTAGATAATAATTTCCTGTTAAATTGTTTTATTGGATCTTGCCTATCAGGTGATTAAATTGGTGATGTTATCTACGCACAGAATCACATAAAGATGTGGCAACCTCTGGTGTTGCCAATTACTTCATACAAATTTAGAGATTGTCAAGGGGGGCGCTGATACATGCTCTGTTTATACGAGGCTGAAATTGCAAGTTATAAGTCATTCTTTAAATTCCATAAATATAAACCTTTAGCTTGACTGAATGTCTGTTAGTGTGACCCATTCATTTTACTTTTCGTGGCTTTCTTGCTAACGATTTATCCATAAAAAAGAAAAAGACCCAAACACAAACTTTTATAGTACTCCACATTGGCATCAAGCTAGGTGTTCTCATAAACATTTTAATGTTTGATCCTCATGCAACCCTCTGAGCTAAATAGGATTATCCCATTTCACACATCAGGAGGGAGGACACTGCGTAGTTAGTTAGCATTGCTGCTCCGGTCCCCCTGGCCTCCGTCTACTGAGACCACTGTGGTCCTGTGATCAGCTACTACAAAAATCACATCCCAACAGTCCGTCCACTTACATTTCATGTAAGAAATAATTTATGCTGTATCCTTCATCTCATAAAATGTGCCAGGATATTTTTAGGATTAATAAAGTAGGAGCTGTCTAAGTGCTGTGGAAGGAGTGTGAGGAGAATCACGAGTTTCCAGCCATGCTCAGACAATTCCTTCCTGTTCTGTTTGAGTTTCTCACCATCATGTCAACTAAGCATAGCCCAGCAAGATGCACATTGTTGCTATGCCTGGGGTGTGAATATACCAGGATCTCTATATGGTCACGTGCATGCCTATGCTTTCTCTACCAAGATGGAGGAAAAAAATTGTTTCAAGGGCATGAGCCTTTGATATCCCACTGTAAATGCAGATGCCTGGGTTAGAAATTCTGTGAGAACCGAGCTTCAGTGTAGAAACAGATGAGAGGACCACTTCTTGGCTTTCTCTACGCCAGCAGGACGGAGTATTTAGCTTGAGGTAACTGAAGAGACAGTGAAATAACGACAGTGTAAGCATGCCTCTCCCATAACCACCAAGAGCCTCCTTAGGCCCTGGACTTGCAGGGGCCAGGAACATGCCACTCGCTGCCCTGACAGGTCTCTCCAGTCGCCTGTGCCGACTCCCTGCTGAGGCCAGGCCACCTGCTCCCCTGCCGTCACACACTCTGTCTCACTTCCTCTTGCCCTGACATTTCAAGCACTATTGTGTTTCATCCTTTCTCCTACTGAGCATTTTTAGGAAAGGCAAGCGAATCTCAACCAATGAAAATCAAAGATTGTACCCAGTTAATGTTGATCAGAAAGTGTATTTTTCTCCATGATCAGCTAGTGTCGCTGGCAGCCTCTGACACACTCACAGGAGCACATGTTCTCCCCACATTCTTCCTCCACTGACAAACTGAGATCTTTCCACAGAACGTGTGTAAAAGTGACCCCTGGAAGCAGACAAGTAGGCAATGAGCTCACTGCCCTGCCCGGGACAGCCCCGCCCCCAGAGCTTGGAGGCCTGAGTGTGTGCACGCTCTGGTCCTCAGCGCGGCGCCCCGGAGCGCTCTGTGTGCGGCTGTCAGAAGCTGAAACTATGCAGCAAGGCCTTCTTTGGGGAAAACTGGCCAGAAAGACCCAACCCAGTGGCTGCCTCCCTGCAGAAAGCTCGTTGTTGAATTTTACAGCTTGCTTTTCTGTTGTACCATTTGAGATTAGCCACGGCAGTGCAACGTCTAGAACTAGCTTGAACATGTTGTTTGTTCTTCATATTTGATCAAAAACAACCACATAACAATAAGGTAAATAAAAACCCAGACTTCTGTAATGTGTTTTTTGAAAGGGCACGTAACGGTATATAACGGATAAAACCAAAGTATCCACAAAAATTTTTTTAAAAAATCATTTTCTAGGAAAGCACTGGCAGGGAATTCCAAATACCTTGGCATTAGCATAAACGAGGCATTTATTGACACAGCACAGATTTGTCTGTTTCTGTCTATATCCAGTCACACTTATGCATATATATGTATGTATCAGTCATTCCATCTCTGTGTTACTTTTCCCAATACACAACCGTTCTTTGGACTTTAGTAGAGGCACGGATCCAGTTGTGAACCTGCCTTGATGGCATTTATAAAAGCATCAATTCTACTATTCTACCACTTTTCTAAGAATTTTTGGGCACTTCTAAAATTTGGGGAAACGTTGTACTGTCCTCATATGCTTTTCTCCCCAAATATTTTTTGCCCTAACGAATAGTTAATTTTTTCTGAAATATAATCAAATCACAGAAGTACTTAATTTCAAAACTATTTCAAGAATGGAATTTATGGAGCCAATACCCAGGGGTTTCCCTGAAGATGTGATCTGATTGGGTTCCTGAGAACAAAGGTCTGTCTTTGTTACGCCTTAGCATGATGTGCTTATGATCCCTGGATTATGACCCAGCCCCTACAAAGAACAGGGATTCCAGATTCATTCTTTGGGTTAAAGAGGAGTAGCATTACTGGTTAAGATCTACCTAGTCATGGTTGGAATCATTTGGGTAATTGTGCAAGTGGATCTAAACATTTGAGATGATAGAGAAAAAGATTGGTGTATTTTTTCATAAACTAGAAATAACCTGTATACGGTAGTTCTTTAATTTATCTGATGTAGTCAATATCAACATGTAGAGTTACCCGTTGACTTCTAAGACTGAATTGTTTGAGAGCTTTAAGATTATAGCTATGTTTTGAAATAATTATATTTTCTTCTTCCTTTGTAGGTAACCCATTAACCAAGGATAAATCAAGGGACCCTCAAGGCCGATTACAATGGCAAATGCATAGAAACTTGACTCCTGAGGGGATCTTGAAGGAAAGATTTTTAGACTGCTGAGAAGAAATACTTCAGAGTCTTATTTCCATGGGATTTCAAGGCTCATAATCAGCCTCTTCTGGAAATTAAGACTTTGAAAAAGTCAAATATGAACTGTGTTATGAAGATTTCCTCAGATGTGAACTGTGTTCTGCCTGTAAAATTGCCCTTGATAAAAAGGATTTAAAGTTGCTTTCTGAAGAGTTGGTGAAAAGTGGGTATTTCTAGGATTTTACATCGGAGGCAACTTTTGGGCTCCTGACTCCACAGGTGACTGCTCTTGTTTCTGAAAGTCCCCAGGCGTGCTGGCTTCCTGTCACGGACATGTTCCTGGGTCCCGTGCTCAGCGACTAGCGGGACAGCACATGGCCTCAGTGACATTCCCTTTGTGAACTTCTCCTTCGGCATGGTGTGGACTGAGAATTTTATTTGTATCCTAAGCTCGGAGCTCGGAAAGCCTACATGTTTTAACATCTTAAAGTTGCTTTTGTTAAAGGAATGGAAATATATATCCATCGATAGTAATTATTGTTGGCAAGTAATAGTTACCTGACTACATCCATCATATAGAATGTATAGACAAGCTGACATGTTTCCCCAAGGCTAACGCTACCGCAGCTCTGTCGGTTAAATATGTAGTAGTTAGAACTGTCCCATTTTCACTATATACTGTTTTGTACCCCGAAAGCACTTTTATTTTTTAAGTAGGCTTTTCCTTTCATTCTTCTGTTGACTTTTTCCCTTCACCGAAGTTAGCAGTGAGCCGTCAAGGTCTTAGGTAGCCTTCAATTTCAAAATCTTTCCAGGGATGCATGTGGATTTCTGATTTCTTAGCTTGAAAGTTATCCTCTTAGCTTTCCTCTAGTATTTTTTAACTGTCCTTCCTCATTTTAAGACTGTCTCTCGCTCTAGCTCAGTGATCGTTTGAATGCTTATAGATTTGTTTGTTCAAACTGTTGATAGAATTGTTCCTTTCCCCTGGTCTCCAACCTCTAAGTATTTGTTTCTTGCTGTCCTGGTCATAGAATTCCTTAGGTCCGGTTCTGTCCACACTTTGCAGTCATTCTAACATTCGTGGTTTTCAGTTCTACGGGAAAGTCTATAAATATTTAAAGGCCTTAAACATGTATGTACATTTTTTCTAAGTTCTTGCAGAATGTACAATTTTATACATTTTTTTCATTTGTGATGTGATGGGAATGAATGGAGATTGCATAGCCATTCTACAATACTGCTGTGTCAGTGTATAGTTTGAAGGAATATACAGAGACTTATGTGTTTTACTCATCGTACACTAATGGGAAGAGACTTCAGAAATTGTCCTATTACAAGCTCCATTACATTAGAGACAAGGTGGGCAGCATTTGCTTCTTAAAACTCACTGACTCCGTCCATTGGGCGTATGTCAGTTCCAAGGATGGAGACCAACATACCCTGGAGAGTTTTGCTCTGTTCCTTGGTAACAACTTTCCAGACCAGTAAAACTTCCCTACATCTTTTCTAGGTAGAACTAAAGTGATAAAAATATGTTAAAAATTAAATTTGTGAAGTATACCTTTGACAGTGACGTACACCGTCCCAAGTTCCATGGAATGAAATCACATCCTCCTTCCATTTTAATTATGCACAAGACTAACTAGAAGAATCTGAATGGCTATTGCAATGGTTCAAGACTGCTTGAACTCATAAGGGAAGGAATAACAGTTGTGCTAGAGTTTCTGCATCAATTATTATGTTAATTTCCTTGGAATAATGTGGAAAACAATATTATTTCAAAAATTATGAGTTTGTCTTAGACTTGTTTGAAATTATAGACCTTACTTGTCATTTTTTCTAACTATGTTCTTTAAAACACTGGAAATTCTGTATTATATATGTGTAGTACATGCATATCCGTAGGAAAAAAATAAACGGAATTTCAAATATACTAGATTATTCCCAGTAGATTATAATGTTGTGATTATTCAGAGAAGATAAATAAAATTGGGATATAAAATAGACTCTTTTATGGGCAACATCTGGAAAAATATTTTCTAGTGTTTCATTTTAAAAGTAATTTAGTTACACCCCAGGAAAACCTCAAAACGTATGGCGAAGCTGACATACGTTCTTCAATCTTCTTTTAATAAAAACCCATGGCAAATCTTACTATTAACAAATGGTTCCAACATTTGGTTTGCTTTTTTCGCTAAGAATTAACTGAAATGATTATATCAACATTTGTGTTACTTGCTCACTTGTACAACTGGCATAACTTTACCAGCAATATGCGTAACTCGTTATGGAAATTGTTAAAAAATGTACTTCGCCTCTTTTCAAATATATTATATTATCTATGGGAATATGAATCAAAATGACTGACTTAATCTTAAAATGTTTTGTAATGGTTTATACTTTAGGATAGTTTAAGATTCACAAGAATTAAGAAAATAGCAGAGGAGCTTGATAACCTCTTACAACACTAAGAAGCGGACACTGATACAATACCATTAGCTCAAATACAGACTGCAACACAGATTTCACATGCACTTTTGTGTACTTGTGTGTCTGTGTGTGTGTGTATGAGATATTACCCCTTTCAATTGACTTGGTAAACATCCACTGTGGTATGTTATGATGTGAATTAAAGTACAGGTTAATGAGTGGCTGATTTGTGGCACCTTTCTTGAGGGTCTCTTTTTTTTGAATAACATCCTATTGCTTCATTTTACTTTACTTTTGCAACACTCTCGTTGCCTTAACAATGGAAACTTCCAGTTTTAATAGCAGACGGTACCATTTGACTTCAAATTTGATGTTCTGAGTAGGAAGAAATTTTAGCATTTGTGCCTATGGTTAAAATGGACTTGGATCTTGCTTATTTTCTTCAGCAAGTCCTGAGCTACAACACAATACTATGTGATTGGATTGTCACTTTCGATCATACACTTGCGATCACCACTAATAGGACAGTGATTAAATGGGACTACTTCTTTTCAAAGTTTTGATCATTTTCTCAAGTCATTGGTGATACATCTCTATATAATAATAATATGCAGAGATAACAAATAGCATTTTTCAACATCTATCCCGTTTCATTTTAACTTCCTCAAGTAGGGAGAATTGTTAGAACGATGGCAGACACCGAGCTTAAAGGCACTAAAATGTCAGGGAGACCTATACCAGACAGACTCACAGTAGGTTATTATTTTTGTCAAGGTAAGGGTCTGTCTTTCTCTTCTGCTTTGTCTATAAAATGCTTTGAAAGTGAGAGGTAGCCGATTTCATCTTCATTGCTTTGACTTGCACCGTGTGACAGAGCAGTGTCAACATGGCAATAATCTAGCATCTAACAGACAGTATTACATTCCTACTGGGCACAGCATTTTTGTTTTTTGCCTTTTGCTTTTTGAGTTGGGGGTTAGCTAAATTTTAGCCTTTAAAGTTGCCTTCAAAGTCAATTCAATAGATTTTCCCCCAATACTCTACATGGTATGACGATATGCTCAGCAACGGGAAGGACTTATGAATGTTTCATATTTGCTTTGATCTTTTTATCTAGTTTCATTATATTTCAAATAACCAAATGATGTATACTATGCAAACAAAGTGACTGAACATTATTCTAGAGACTATGTAAATAGGGCAGTTATTAGTCCAAAGTTGTGTTTTACAGATTTTAGCAACAAATGTGATTGATTGTATTAAACAAGAACTTGGGGACTTGAAGAGAAACTATAGGGAACTAAAACAATTCAGGGGAGAGCTAATGAAGAATTGAATTTAAGACTATTATACTGAAGAGAGTGTGAATAGTGGTTATCAAGCCTGGTGGCCATTTAAATCACTTGAGGATCCTAAAAATTACCCATGTCCAACCCTGCTCTAAGATTCTCTTAATTGCTCTAAGGTTAGAGACTGGGCACGAATACACACACACACACACACACACACACAAAAAAAAAAAAAAAAAACCTCTCCCCATGTTATTCTAATGCACATCTAGAGTTAAGAACTACCAATGAAGTGTTTTGCCAAAGTGGAATGATCAGCTGATCACTCTGGGAATGGAGAAAGAGGCTCCACCCTCTTGATAAAAGTTGCTGCAAAGTCATTTTGCAGGTTAATACAGGGAAAGAATGAAGACCTGAAGCCATTTTTTTTTTCCCAATCACATCCCACCGGCGGCTCCATTCTAATCTTACTCCTCTTCAGTACCAACCCCGCTGGCTTATCTGAGTCATCCTTTCAATCCTAGTGATTTGGGGACATATCGACTCTAAATTCCTCTGTGGTTCCGTTTCCCTGATTTGAAATCTATACCATGTATCGGACAAGTGGCATTTCATTATTTGGCATTTTCCTACTTCCTCACACCCCTACGCCTGTACTAATTCTGCCATTACCGAGTCCCCATGGTTGTGGTTCTTAGACCGTGCTCTGCTCCGACAAACCCCTTTTGTCTCTGAAATTGAACTTGTCAACTATGTTCCCCTACCTTTTCTCAATAAGCTCTCATATATTTACGTTTAAAATGATCAAGTTCTGTTAACTAATATTTCTACCATAAATTAAGTAGATGAATCCTGAAAGATTACTATTGGCAAGACAGTAGGAAGATCTGAAGCAATGTGTCCCTAGAACCAAACTCTCGAGGAGTTAATTCAAGTGTATACAAAGGGTAGGTTGTGGTGAATATTTAATCCTCTTTCTTCTGTTGTTACTTTACAGTTTAGATGGAAAACATTTTATGTATTTTGTATAGTTACTTATAATTATCTGCAATCCATTCTCAAGTCTTTTTTTTTTTAATGTTCTAAGAAAAAAATACCTTAGAGGTGTCCTCACGGCAGCTGCCTGGGCCAAGTCTCCCCTGACCCCCAGAAGCAGATTTGGGTGGCATTTCTTCATGTCCCTATTACATTCTTTTGTGCTGTTTATTCATTTGCTGTCTAATGCATGCAATCCAGAGCTTTCCTCTTGGTAATCTCATTGTGTAACTGTGCATGGTATGCAGCAGGCAGCCGAACATCGCTTTTTAAATGAAGGATCACATGATTTAAGATACACGACACAGGCACAGTTAGTGTAGTGAGTTTGTGCCTTGTTGATGGACTAACGTGCTTCTTCCTTGGAAATGTTGAATATCAGCTATTAGGCAAGATTCTGGAACATGACTGATCTGCCATGCAAATGTCATGTTCATCTTTTTTTGTTTTCTGGCTGATAGTTCAATCTCTTGTACTATACATCAAAAATGTCACAGCCAAACAGTCTGAGGGATGAATTACTTCCATGCTGTTAAATGACAGAGAGATATTACCTAACCAGTGTTGTCAACCTTATTGAGTTCTCAGGGAAAATATTTCTTTTTTTTTTCTTTTTTAACTTTGCAGGCATTAGAAAACACACTAAATTACAACGGAAAAGTTGTCTGTTCTGAAGTCCATACTCTATTGCCGTCATACTGCCAGTTCTTTCAAACATTTTACTCAGTGTGTCACCACCATTGGTTACCTTTTATTTTCACCTTCAATGTGCTTTGTTTTCAATGAGTTTCTTCTATGTTACAAACATGATTTTAGAAAATTTTGAGTTCTTTAGTGTTTCCTCATGACAGCAAATGGTGTCTGCTGCCAATCTCTCTAGATACTAATGAATGGAAGCTTAAATGAAACAAAATTGGTTCCATTATTTCTGGGAGCATTCCTAGTGATATTATGGGACACTCATTTTGTTATAGGACAGGGAGAGGGGCAGCCCAAACCCCGCAAACCTGCCTGCTCTAAATGGGTTCTGCCATCCGCCGCATCAACACAAAACATATGAGACTTTAATGGGAAGGAACTTTAATACAACTAGGAAACAATACAGGTAAGGCAAAGAGTCTAGTTTCTAAGTGAAGCACCCAAAGTTACCCGTCCCCTCGTGGGTAAAAGTCCATCCATATGGGATTGGCCCAGAGCAAGGCCCCAAAGCCTGCCCCAAGTCTAAAGCACCTTCAAGTGGGGACCCACAGAAAAGGGTCACAAACAACCGGACAAGCCCGGAAGGAAAAGAGCAAAATCAACATCAAGATAAAAGCTGCCATGGTCACCTCCCCATGGGTCTCACCCACATCTGTGTCACCCCGTCCACGACCAAAAGACAAGCGCAGTTTCTTCACGTGTCTCTAGGCTCCATGCGCCTCCTCCAGGTCTCCTGGCTCCATCCTGCTTCCTTCCTCAGTCTCTTCTGCAGCTTCTCCTCTTCCTGCTCAGCTCCACCCTCCCTTGGGTGGGGCAGGGAACCTCCCCCTTTCCTGGGGACCACCCTGTTACAATTTGACGGTCCTTATTTCGCCTCGGGCTAACCATTAGGTCCCCTCCATTCCCCTTGTGATTCTTAGTTTTGAAAAGTTCAAATGGCTTATTTTCTCATTTGAAGGACTCACGGCTGGAACCAGTTGCTAAGAGAATCGAGTGGCAGTTGTGAAAGGCAAAGTCTGAAACATCACTTAGTGTCTCTTACAGGTTGACTGAAAAAGTATGCTTGAGATTGGATTGCAGATAATTACTTCGCAAAGAGCTTTTAAAAATACAATTACAAAATTCCCAACTTAAAGTGGAAAAACAGAAAGAAGTAAGTTTCTGCCTCACTTAGACACAATGTGTTTTTTTTACAGAATATTGAGTCCATTTGGGGAGTTATACCTGTGGGTGGACTTTGTAACAGCATCATCTCTCTCTAACAGAATCCCACAGACAGAATTATGAGGAATCTCCTGTTTGTGTTCATTTAATTTCAGGGGTTGCTGCTCTAAACAATAAACTAAATTTGAGAGCTCGATTCCGGATATGTCTTGCCACTTTCCTTTCCAGCTAGTTCAATCAAATGTCATTCTATTCAAGTGACTATAGACAGGGTGAATTTCAAGTAAGAGAAAATTCAAGCTAAGTGACAGATTTTCTCTGAAAGTTACTTTTGTTTGATTTCATCTTTTGGCCTCTGCTGTGAAACCGCACAATGAAACGGAGTCAGAGTGTCCGTTCCGCTGCCGCTTCGGACTGGGGCTTGGGGTTCAGTGTCACTTGCTTTGTACGCGCCTCCTGTGTCCTCGGGGTTGAGCACTGTACCTTTCTACACCCCCTTAGGTGAGTGTCACATCTGCAGTTCCTCAGCGTCACTGCTATAGCTCTGCTGAGCCCCCCACCACTGCACAACTGCCAGCAGAAGCTCTGCTGAGTTTCTCCATTTTGCAGAGTCTTTGCCTCCTGTTTTGTGTAAAAGTAGAGAATAAGAGTGACAGCAGGTTACTATTGTGATGGAGGTGCTCTTGGAGGGCACTCTGGGAATCTGGACCATGGACTGATAAGTTGTGACCCTGGGAAAACTAATCACTTAACCTCTTTGAGCCTGAATTTTCTCACCTGTGATCAATGAATAGCATCTGTTCTCTCTGCTACCCAGGCCTATGGTGAAGAATCAGTGAAAGATTGGTTAATTCCCTACAAAGTTAAAAGTGCTGGAAAAATGTGTTCTAATGTTATTATTAGAAGGTGCCAGGGAAGATATGTCAGTTGATGTTCTTATTAAAATCTATGTCACATTTTCTATCAGAGAGATTAAAATCTGACATTACATAGTTAATTGAAACATCATATTAAATTGTGAT